CGAGCTCGGAGGCTACAGAAGTCTTATCCATCCAGTGTAGGCCGAGATAACCTCAAGCCAGGACAACATGCTGTGACGTCATTATCTCAGCTATAAATGCAAACATCAGCTCAGCAGCATTTCTCTGAAGCACGTTTACACTAAAGGCTGCAAACATGGATGGCCTTTGAATGTTAAAGATTCAGCCACTGCTGCGTTGGTTCATTGGAGCCAATACCTATCAGGACGACAGGTAAACTTAGTAAACTCTATATTGAACACTTAAAGGAGAGGTTCGCGTGGAAGATTTCCACTTTAAAAATAAAAGTTTACGTCACAGACTTAAACCATGTCTGGGAAATCAGTCCAGTGTTGTTTAGAAACAAACTGTGACTGTTTGGAAGCCTGATGAGGCTCAAGGGGAACAATTTTCAAAGGCCCAAAATGCAATTTTCTTATGGCTGAGGGTCAGGGATGCTTATTTTTGATGATGGCTGAGACCTCACAGAGTTCACCCAGTAGAAACAGCTGACAGCTTGTCAGGTTGTAAAGATGTTCATTTCCGCTGTAAGGTTTTAACCCTGGGCATCTGTGGGACTGACTCACTGCTGCCTCTGCTGAACGTCAGAGGAACAGTTGATGCTTCACTGATGTCCTCTAACCTCACTGATCAACATGAGGTCATTCCAGCGTCACCCATCACCTTTAAAAAGCACACCATCCAGCAGTAGCCAATCAGAGGGCTGCATTCACACAAACACATTTCGATGAAAGCAGCCTTCCTCGCCCCCCTCTTCATCACATACATATATCTGTGCAGCTGCAGCCATGTGAAACTTTTAAAAAAGCCTTAATGACGCTCGCACGCGGTTAAAGTGAGATGTAACCATGGTTACAGATGATGGCTTTGGTGTGGTCTTTGTTTCACTTCCAGCACAGAAATGGGACAAACATTAAAAACACACGTCTGATGGGCTCCGCCTGACGAGACCGCCATGACGCAACAGGGAGCAAGCAGAGCGGCAACGAATCAGTGAAGTCATTTTCTTTCCAGCACCAGCCAGGTGAAAGGTGGGCACGTCAGCCGAGGAGAGACGCTCACACTCACAGCACCACTTTCACCTTTTCTGCTTCAATTTATTTATGAAAAAAATAAATAAATCAAAAACTAAGCAGGTGATTCACTTCCTTGCAAGGTACATCGCCATGGCAACATTAAGCTGCAGACTTAACCTGCTCCAGATAAGAGATCAACAGGTATACACATTGCCTAGCGACCAATCAAATCAAAGATCCTGCAGTCAGTGCGCCTCCCTGACTTTACGGTTTTATTGTTTGGTTTTATTTTTTTGTTCTTTTCTCACTCGCCATCAGCACACACTAATGTAAGGCCATCATCAGCCTATGTCAATGCACCACAACTAAACACTAGAGATACACTTAATGTTCAGTATTAAACTTTCAAGATGTGAATGTGAGAAGTAACCCACTGTGTGTGATAAACATGATGAGGATTGGGTACATGGAATCATACCTGTCGAGCATCATCTGGAGCTGGATCTTTAATGTGTGTGAAAGCATTCAGCTGGACTGATTTAAAGAGGTTCTACAGACATCCAGCCCTGCTGTCGCAGATCACGCCACGTCTATTGTCATCAGTCTGTGCTCACCTGAGCTCCACATCCACAGACACACAGATTTACCTTCAGACACCTGAGCGAGCTCCACCTGCTTCTACGCAAGGTGAGGAACACGCCTGAAACCAGCCCGACCTTTAAGAAAATTCAAAACAGCAGAGACCTGAGCGTTTGCATCATCATCCCAATTTCGAAATGAACTTAAAGAAGAAACGTTTCATACAAATAAAATCACTGAGCGGGTCTAAAACTGTGGGCCTGGGCCCCACTGATGGGGCACGAAACCACTGGAGGTTCAACATGGATCCTTTTTTTATTACTGAGAATAAATGATAAAAAAAGATTTAATGATGATTTAAAAAATGATTTCATATGAAACTATAATTACAGATGCATTTTCTTTTAATGCTCTCTACTCTTAACTTCCTGTTGACTATAGAGGTGCTTTTGTACTAACTTGCATGATCATAACCACAGTTACTTTGGCCAAGACTGAGATCAGACTTTGGAAAACTGAGACTTCTCCAAACTTTAAAAGAAAAAGAAGAAACTAATCAGATTTCCTTGAACTTTAATTCTAAATCAGCTGAATAAACTAAATGAATAGATGAATGTGAAGCGAGCTAAAGCTGCCTTTATAGGGGACCAGATGACAGGATGTGCTAAAGCAGCGGTCCCCAACCCCCGGGCCTCGGACTGGTACCGGTCCGTGAGTCGTTTGGTACCGGGCCGCAAGAGTTGAAGCTCAGATGTGAAATGTATAGTTTTCAGGGGTTTTATCGGTTTTCAGCGTTATTTTGTTATCGTTTTTATCGTTAACTTGGTTTTCCTGGGTCTTTTCACGTGTGTTATGAATAAATTCTCTTTTTTTCGGTACCGGTATTAGTTTTATTTATTGTATTTATCCGCAACACCTTAAAGGCCGGTCCGTGAAAATATTGTCGGGCATAAACCGGTCCGTGGCGCAAGAAAGGTTGGAGACCGCTGTGCTAAAGGCCTCTGAGGGATTGTGTAAACGATATCTGCCTGAAATACCAGAAACAACACTTCCAAACACAAAAACAGCTCTCGGCTCCATCACACCTCATCCTTCTTCAAACATCAGCTGCACCTGCTCAGTCTGTGATCCAGGCCCTTCCAGTCCCCCCTTCAAGGCTTTTAAAGAACTTTTTCAGGACCTGAAGCTGTTTAATCAACATCATATGCACAATTTACTACCACATCATGTTACAGCCCTAAACTTTAATCGTGAGTGTTAAACATTAAGTATAGCAAATAAATCACAACTTGAAGATGATCCTGGCATCACATGTAGGTGAAAGTAGAGCATTCAGGTGCCTCACAGACACCTCCACCGTCCTACATGCTGATACCAGCCTTCAAAACTTACCCAGAATGCACTTTGTGAAGGAAACAGATCAAACACCAGTGTTGGTTTCTGCTCCTCCATGTCACAGATCAAACTGCAGTTTATTCAGACTGTGATGGATCCTCACTGAAGGTCACAGTTCTTCAGATGGAAACTCTCACAGTGGGATAAAACTGATCTTAAAAATGTGTTTTGTTTTGTTTTTGGTGTAGATATGAAGTTATGAGGGCTCAAAAATGCTGTAATAATAAATAAAGAGCTCTGAATGTTTGCACTTTGAAGGTAAACTGTGATATGCCTTCATCAAACACATTAAAGCTGGTTCTGGGGCGCCGTGGAGAAAGTTCTCTCAAATTTTTGCTTCAAATATTTGTGGATATCGAAGCCTTTCCTCCGACATCCTCACAAACATCCACCTTTAGGCCTCAAACCACGACCCTGAAATGACCTCCAGGGCTTTTCCTTTTACCTCTCTAACCCCCACCCTCCTGCTCGGCTGTGAGTTCATGTTATTTCTGTAAATGTAGATAAATGTGTTTAAACGTGTGCATGGAGGACTGAAGGCCGCTGTGTTTTAAGGAGGAAACATAAAGGTCACTAAAAAGAGAGAAAGAGGAGCGTGGTAATTAAAAACATCGGTGTGCCGTGCTGACTGAGCTTTCTGTCGCTGCCTCCCCTCCCCCTGCTCCTCCACACCAAAAACAGCATCAAAGCAATCAAAATGGTAATGTTAGGCATGAATGGGGCCCATCCCCCCTTTACTCCACCACCTCCTCCTCCTGCCTGAAACTCTGCAGACTTTTTTTCCTCTTCAGCTAGAGGAGGGGGAGGAAGAGGAAAAGGAGGAGTAGGAGGGGGGCAGGAGGTAGTAACCCCCCCCCCCCTTTTTTTCCTCTCAAAATGGAAGCTTCCACTACCAAACTAAAGAAGAAGAAGATGGATTAGTTAAAGTTTACCAGCAGCCAATCAGGAGCTGAGGAAGCTGCACTGTGTAGGAAATAAAGTGAGACACAAACAGAAGAGAAAGAGTGCACGGATGGAGAGCAGCTCCTTCTTCTTCCTCTGATAAATGAGGGGGAAGTTGGGTGCGCTGCTGCCGGGCTGGGACCGGCCGGCGGGGCGGTGCAGCGCCGCGGAGGAGCTCCGAGGAGCTGTCCGCGGTGCTGAACACCATCCAGCCCGGCTCCACGCTCCGCAGCATCCGCCTCAAAGTTAACCAAACATCCGCCACCTCCACATAAAGACCGAGTATTAAAGAAAAGTGAAAGCGAATCAAAGGCACCCTCTGAGGTCATGTGACCAAGAGGGACTAACAGCAGCAGAGTAAACCGTGTCAAATACGCTGAAATTAAACTACTCCATGATGGTTCTGAGAGCTGTGTGAGGTACTCAAAGTCCGGCACAGCTCCTCCATCTGTCCGCCGAGCCGCTCCGCTCTCATCCCCGCTCTCCAGAAACATGTCGACCAACTCAAAATGGACGCTAAAATTCCCCCAACATTACACAACTTTGAGAGGCCGAGCAGGAGCCACTTCCAGCCCGCAGAGCGGGGCAGAGAAGCGGCCCCGGTATGCCCCTCAGAGACCCCCACCCAGCGGGGAAACTTCACGCAGAGCGGGTTTAAGCCGATAAAGTTTCTCACACAGTCCGGCCATAATTACCTGCGGCTGCCGCTTCATCTGCGCCACTACATGCAGGAAAAAGTGCCTCAAGTTAACAAAGCCGCACTCTTTGCACCTCTTCATAAATATTCAGGTCGCGTCCTGATCGCCACACAGCACCAGCAGCAGCACCGCATTATCACCGCTCCACATTCTTGTTGCTCGCAGAAAAACAGCCACGGCAATCAGACAAAGTGCTGCCCAAAGTGCCCTCGGTCAGCGGGACCGGGAAACGGCCGCCGGCGGACATTTTAAGCAGCGAGATGTCGCAGAGTTGCTCCCCGGGAGTGAGCAGCTCTGAGCCCGCTGCTCGGAACGCCACTGAAGGCGAGAACAACACGATGTTTCGTTTACCTGATGACATTGGATCTCTACTTTCAGCGCCTCTTGCAGGCCTTGTAGTTCCATGTTCCGACCAGGAAAGCACTTTTCTCCCACTTTCGACGCGGCCGAGACCAAGTTTGAGTGATTTTAAAGATTTTTTTAAGCGACAATAACAATTGAAAGAAGAACTACTCGGGCTGCAAAGCAAGTTCTCGCTTCTTTTTACAGCCCAGGACTCATCACCCACTTTCCGCCCGTCTTCAAAAGTGCTCCAAACCCGGCGGGAAGAGCTCGGGCTTCGCACGGCTCCTCTCCAGAAGACCACCGAGCGTCGACGGGTCTGACCGGGCAGCCGGGTCGCTTTTCTTTCGCTAATTTTAAGTTGAAAAACGGGGACTATATTTTGTCCGAGTCCGCGGCTTGATTTCACTTTGCCTGGGGAAAAGTTGCGCTTCGGCTGTCAATGGTAATTCTGAAGTTCCCGGATGGAGCAGCGAGAGCAGACCCCCTCCTCCCTGCTTCACTGCGCATGCGCAGTGAGCGGGGGCAGTTACAGTCAGGTTTTATGATTAAAAGTCGTGTTTTTACCCCTTTGGTCGCAATAAAACGGCACCTAGTCACACTCTGATGGTTCAGAGAGGTCTAGTTAAAAGAAAAGATAAATAAAAGCTGGTCAGTGTGTGAATTACACTGAGCTTTTCACATTCAAACCTAAAGTGCTGGATTGTAAATAAAATTGTTTCATTACAGTCATTACAAAATCTCTAGTTATTCTACAGACTTCAATTATAAATATAACACATATATAACACATGTATAGAAAATCCACATAGATTTAGGATATAAGTTATAAAAAGTTTCTTCAGCTGCAACACTAACAAACTAAAGGCTTACCTAACATCCGAAAATGGTCTTTTATCCACAGGATGCCCACATATAATAATCACTTTAAGCTTAGATACTGTATTTTTATACCATTAAATGAGATTAAAAATAACACACAAAAACTGTGAGCAGCTTTACAGAAAATAAACATAATAAAGCTTTAAAAGTCATAACAGGGCTTTAATATGACAGCTACACCCAGTTCACACAAGCCAACCTGCATCACATGACCCTCACCTGTTTGGAAACTCACAGCAACTTTAGATTTCTCTACTAATAATATCCTAACCCTCATTAATACTTAATGTGCATGATAAATAATATGTAGGCTGTGTCAGCTGCTTCTTTGAGTCATAATGTTTTGATGTTAGGTGCCACATGCACAGTTATTTTGTTAATTAAGCTGCATCAGGATACACAATATGAGTAAAAGTCAGAAATGAAAACCTGTTGATTTAATAAAAAATAAACTACACCAAACTCACATTGTGTATGTTTTTGTGATGTAAAGGTTTTGTCATTTTCACAGTTAGGCACATCTGCACTGATATTTTTAACACAACAAACAAACACACCAAAATATGTTCACTTAAAGTGGTTGAGTGGAAGGAAAAGAAAGGATGGGTATTTAAAGGCATTAAACAGTAAGTAGTGATGTAAATAGGTTGGATTTGAAGCATTCATAAAAGACTGATTTTTGTTACATGTGACCTCAACTATACAAATTAAAACTATTTTTTTTTAAATAAAGATGACTTTGAGTGTGGATATTTATCAAAAATAAACCCAGTGTGGCTTTTTTTCGTGAACACATGTTATTCCTGTCATACATGTGAAATAATGCTTGTTTAAACTCCTGCCCAGCGTCGCAGTGGAGCTGACTCGGGCAGAACAGTCTTTGTGTTGTTTACTCCTTTAACATGGATGCTCTGCAGGTTTAAACATGGCAGCAGCAGCATTCACTCCACTCTCAACTTCCTGAGACAGAGACGCGGGGGGGGGGGTAGCAGAAATGCCCCTCAGCAGGACGAACATCCACCCACACCTGCCCCTGTACACTTTCTACCTCGTCACATGAGCACAAAGAGCTCTGCTGGGTTAGTTTCTCCTCCAAATCTGCCCCTTCTCCCCCATTTCTGTCAGTCTGACTCTGGCCCCGCCCCATCTTCCTCCTCCCGCCCTCTGGCCGCAAGCCAAGCTGCGATTGGTCCAGACTGCTTGCAAATAAAAACGGGAGCATGGTTGATGGAGGAAAGCCAATCAGGAGTTGCAAAGGAAAAGCGACAAGAAGGAGAACCAATGAGCGTGAAGGAGGTAGCGGAGGTGGCGGGGCCGCCCCGGCAGTAAGCGTGATGGGAGATGAAAGAGCGGGGATGGCAGCCGGTAACGTCTGAATCCACCGAGAACTCCGGACCCTGAGCTGCACGCGGACTTCAGCTTGTCTCAGACCGACGCTGTGACGCGTCTCTGAGGCGCAGCACCGCGGAGGAGCCGACCCTAGCACCACGGACAGAGGCAGCCGCGTGGGAGGGACTACTTCTTCATGTGCTCTAAGTGTGAGGAGGTTCCGCTCAGTCCGCTCACTGGTCCTCACACAGGCCGCAGAGAAGCCGCAGCACGGAACTGTAACACAGATCTGCCTCTGTCTGCACTTCCGGTCTCCACAAGAGGCGCTCTTAGGGGTCAACAGTCAACTGGGTTTATGACCAAAGGTGGCAGAAACAACAGACACATATTCAGATTTTCTACCGAACTAAAATAATTTTCTGTAATTATAAGCACCGTCTCCAGTTTGATTTGTTTTCCCCCATTATTTTCAACTTTTTCATAGCAGAGACCACAGGTCAAAGTCTAAGTCCTACACATGACAGTTGTTTACAATTAGCTTGTATTACTTATTAATACATTATTCATTCAAAATGCACTCTAAATTAAACTGCTGTGTGAGCTTTAGATAAAGTTCATATTTGGGGATAAAACAGTTGTCTTTGAAAAGTTTGTCTGGTTTATCTGGACAAAAGGCCATAAGAAAGTGACTCTGATTTTTTTATAGCTTTGATGAGGGTATGGCAGCATTTCCATCCAGAGCTGGATTAGTTTTAGAGCACTTAAGGTGGGCACGTCAGATCACTGAAGTCAGTCCATCACAAAGATTCCCTGTGTGAAAGTGATGTCACGCCCCCTGCAGCACTCGGAGTCCTGTCACTTACTGATGGAGAGGCCTGCTCATCAGTATATGCAGGTATTGCAGCTGACCTCATTTTATTTCATTTCATTTTATTTCTTTTTGGTGGGAGAGTGTGCATACTTGTCACAAAATCATACTTCCTACTGAAGAACAAAATCATGCTGACTCGTGATGATTAGTTTCCATGAACACAAAGACGTAAATGAGTTGTTCACAGTGACACATGCTGATGTTTACAGAGGGGAAAGGAGAAACAAAGAAAGAAAGAAAATAAATCTTCCTCCAGTGTTTAACAAACTGAACCAGAGCAAAACACAGCAGTCATCACTGAAATACACCAGCAAGAACTAAAACAGGACAGGAGATGTTTTGACAATAATTAAAAAGCAGGTGTATGTAGTGTCTGATGGTCCATGAAGTAAACAGAGTAGAAGCACCACACCCTTGTGCCGAGCTCAGCGGTGGGGGGGGGGGAGTCTGGTCCTCTAACTGGAACCTGTTCTTTGGCTATCGTCGCTATCGCCGTTAGCATGCACTTGAAGTGTGTAACTGTAAAGGTTAAACTTTCTGTTAGATTTTATTAGCTGCCTCTAAAAATAAACAAGTTAAAATAAATAAATAATAATCACTTTTAGACCCACAAATTTAATACTACAAAAGATTGAAAGATTGGTGGCATGTGTGTGTGTGTGTCATTTTTTACATTTGAATATTTTCAATTACAACGTTATTTTTTTTCCACATTGACTGGCACTTTACAACAAATACAAATAAAATATATGTTAATTTTTGGAAGAAGGTAAGTATAAATTCTGATCTATAAAATGGTGCATTTTTTACCGCTTAAACGTTTTTATTTATAATATTAAGTATTGGCAAATAAAACTTAAATAATAGTTTTGGTATGAGTTTTCACACAAAGTAAAGCCAACAAAAATATCTGTCCTGAGACCAGGTGGAGCTCAGACAAGTTTTAATCGGATTTACTGAAAGCTCTCCACCTGTAACAGTCACAGGCAGCATGCAAAATATATGCAGAGCATCACACACTTCTCCAAAAATACTCTGTTTTTGTTGGTTATAATGATGATGATATTCTTACAAAAGAAATAGTGTTTAGAAAAAATAATATAATTCGCAAGGCGCCTCCCTCAGACACATTTACTAAGCCCACCTGCTACCTCAGGTATCAGTGGGCTGGTTCAGTGTCAGCAGTGTGGGTGTGGGGAGTTGTGAGTGGGTGTGACCCAGAGGTGTCATCTGTGTGGCCTGGCAGCAGGTCAGCAGGTGAGTTCACATATGTGAATGTTGGCTAATTAACACAAACACATTATTTTCTGTTAGAAATGAAGTAAGCTAACTAATGCTAGGATACCAGTAAATACTCTTTTCTCTTTTTTAAAACCTGATCTCACCTTTTAATAGAGCCATCCTACCGTTTTACCACTCAGCATCACCTAAGAGCGCACCTGGACCAAACCAAATGAGGAGGGAGGAGGCGGGGTAAGGGGCTGAGTTGTTTTTTATTTTTTGCTGCCAAAAACAAAGGAAAACTAATGCTGGGAAACACACGTGTTTATAAAACAAGCAAACATTATTTTATGGCGATAGGTTAAAAATTTTCATTTAAAAAAGGCTAGTTTATGTTTTGTAGGGCCCCTGTCAGTCATGGGCCCTTACAGTCATCATCACTTTCTGACGTTATTAAGAGGCAAAAAGAGTTTGGGCAGTATTTTTTCTCCTGGATGAGGTAGATTAGACTTGGTGTGGGTTCACGTGTTTCTGTCTGCAAGCCTTTAAAGGAGAATGTGGTGGCAGTTAAGAAAAGGAAGCAGTCTGAAGTTTGCTCTGTGCTTTAACGCAAAGTTTTTGCGCTGCTAAAAGCAAGACGTCATAATGATGTAGATGTTGGATTTGTTGTGGGCCTGTTCCAGTTTACCTGACGGTTCAGGATATTTTTTAAAGCATAAGTAGATTCGAAATGTAAAAGCTAGCAGCTGCTTGTATAGCTCGCTAATGCCCTGTCAGTTTCCCATCAAAGTCCACAGGTTTATCCACAATAACCAGAAAATGCTGCTGATCTTTCAGGGTGACAAGCTCTAGACTGTTTTTTTTTTAACAGAACACAAACTCAGCAGAAACTTTCGATTCCAGTTGTTCCACGTCAAACCGAGTTCAGCTTCCTTCCACAGACATTATAGTAGATGTTAATAGATGACACTTTTTTAGGTATTAAATTGTGCAAACATTTAGACTTCACTGGGCAAGTACAGAACACCTTGCTTGCCCTGACAAAATGATATTGCTTTTTTGTGACTTTTACCTACATCAACTTCAGCCAGCAAAACCAGCTGCTTCTTCTACACACATGAAAGTTTCTGCTGGGCTTTAACTACACTCCTGACATCTGTTGGAGTTTTTGCCAGTCTAACTGTCCAATCAGCATGAGCATGAGTAGTGATCTATGGGGAAAATTAGCTTCACTGTGAGAGAAACTAAACCTTGAATGTCGTACTACAGTTTACGTCAGACACATTATCAATGCTAGATTTTTAAACATTGAAAGTGAAATTAAATAAATATTGGTTTGTTTTTTTTTGTCTGGTGGAAA